TGATGAGCTCTCGAAAAGAAGATGCACCTTGTTAGTTTGAGTAGTACTATCAATCCTTTTGAGCTTTTCCCATTCCCATCTTGATACGGGGTATTACATTCACCCCCACTTAGGAATGCAACGTCCTCGTTGCATCCTTTTTTTTGAACCCATAGATCTTCCCCGCTAGGTGAGCTAAGCTCTTTTGGCCCGTCACGGTCGCAGGGTTGCTCTGATACCATTTGTAACACCCCGGCCCCCACCCTGGCCGTAAGTGTTCGCTCATAGGATTGTAGACTGTCCCCACAAACCAACACAAGTCTTTCCCGCACATTTTGTCCTCACTCGTGCGCGCCCAAGGAAAACTTCCCAGGGGGTCACCCATCCTAGAATTGTTCTAGGTCAAGCACGCTTAACCTTGGAGTTTCTAGGTGATGAGCTCTCGAAAAGAAGATGCACCTTGTTGGTTTGAGTAGTACTATCAATCGTTTTGAGCTTTTCCCATTCCCGTCTTGCTACGGGGTATTACAAGTATAGTTTGACCGATCAAGTAATTTACACCATCAAGGCTGATGTTCTTATATAGGGATTTCAGAAGCAGTTTTTTGGCATACATTGTAGGCATGACTGTTTACAAAAGTGAAAACAATTATTGGCATTCAATAGGCATGGCAATTGGCACGGCATATCCGTGGCTGGAATTAGGCACGGCATTTGGCACATCTTCGTCCCGGCGAGTTTTTAAAAATTAACGTTGTCCGACGGAAATGAAACGACGTAAAGGTTGTGATTTTGGCACGGACCGTAGGCACGCACAAGGTAGTGCCAAATTCGGCCTTGCACAGCATTGCGCCATGTGGCCTTTATTCTCCATCGGTAAAGGCACGGCACTATCCGTGCCTAATGCGCGATTTTTTTGTAGTGCCATTTGGTTTGTTTTTGAAAGTTTTAATCCTACTTTAGTTTTTTCCCAAAGGAAATATACATTTTTTAGGATGGAGGAAGTATAATTTAATAAAGGCAAATTTTTTGGTGGTCCTTAGGTTCACACTCAATTTATAAACTTTAATATATAAATTTTATGGATGAATTGAGCTCTTTGAAAAAAATAAAATGTCTCTATAAAGGCCCATTAAAAGTGTGAGAATTGAATTGAATGTCTATGTTTCACATGTGAACCTTATGACCATTGAAGCACAATTCTTTAATTAAAAAAAATATTTTTGTCAAGTCTTGTTTTATACTTTCTACGTCCTAAAACTCACTTCCTGTTGCGTTTTATAATGTTTGGCTTAAACTATTTTCAGTTCAATTTATTGAAAAATCGGTGTGGATATTTAAAAAAATTATATGATTAAAAATTACATCAAATGATCAACGAAACTAGAAGTGACATTAAAATATATTTTTATCAAATAAGTAATAGAAATAAGCTAAAAATGTAGATAAAGTTACACACAATGAATAGTGAATTGGAAGATATGTTAAGGACGGAAGGAGTAGAACATTTGATAAACTTTTGAAATATGTTTTTGTACTTTTATTTTTATATCAATTTATATATTAGATAAGTTTAAAAGAGAAAAGATTTCACAGTTCAAAAGGAAAAGTTAACAACAAATTAAATTACACTACAATAGAGTAAAATGAGACCAAACCTTCAAGTTTTTTTTTATCAAAACTAATCAATTCAGGAAACAAAGAGAATAAGGGTAGCGAAATAAATTCTGAACCTAAGAGTGCATTTGGTTGGAGAGTACATGTTTTCATGAAAAATTTTAAGGGTAAAGGAGCAATATAGGAGTAAAACATTAATAAAATTCCAAAATAGGAGTTGAAAGATAATACCTCCAAAATAAGAGTTGCTCACTCACCCAAAATGCAAGTTAGAGTTTACCCACCGAAACATAAAATCCTAAATCAATTCAAGAGAATGAGAGCCTTAGTTTACCTTTAATGCTGACTAATTAACTTGGCAATCCAGTACCAACATAATGCAGCCTTTACACATATTGTGAGTTCAATTGCCACCAGCTATCTACATATATATTAAGTAAAGATTTTGTAATGAACTTGTCTACTTAACTAGTAATTGTTTTTATTATAATCTAAAGCCACTATCAGATTATCCCTTATACACACATTCATATATATACTATTTTATTTAGCTTATTTTTAATAGTGTTTAAAATTTAGTTCTTAAATCAAACGGATTGCATTCATAATTGTGATTAACACCAATACCTCTGTATTTCCTATATCTTGCGTTTTCTAAATCTTCGTTGATGGGGGCCATTCGCGAGCAAGGTGACAGTGGCTGGCGGAGGATTATCGGGGAATTCTACTCATGCCACATTAACCATCCATATGTTAATTAAGGACATATTGCCAAAGATGACAACATATACTGCCACACAAAATTGCATAATGACAATCATGCTAATGTATTAAGGCATGCATATATGTGAATGTATAATGTCAAATGAAAATCATGTTAATGTATTAAGTCAGATATACAACAACAACAATCCAGGTGAATCCCACAACAGTAGGGTCTGGGGATGGTGTGTGTACGCAGACCTTGCCCCTACTCGGAAGTAGGGAGGCTGTTTCCAAGAGACCCCCGGCTCCACCTGCACAAAAATATGGAAGAGAACACAGTATAATACAGATAAAGTACCAAGTACAAGCAACAAGTACAAGCAATAACAGAAGATTCCAAACAAATACAACCCACTACAAAACAACCTCTACAACACCGAGCTCCTATCCAGCTACTCTAATCCTAGTTTTCCAAAGGTTCCTATCTAGGGTCATATCCTCAGTCAGTTCGAGAAGCCCTAAATCCTGCCTAATGTCAATCAAAGGCATAATGCCAAACATGGTAATGCATAACGTCATATATGACAATGTATAATGACAAACATGTTAGCATATAATGTAACAAATGATAATACAGAATGTTAAAAAGAGAAATGTCAAGAAACTATACACTTTACCAAAGACATAATAATTCAATTCAAACTTCATGTATGTTCTAAACCAACCGTGCCAATTAATTTTTTATTTCAATATCCCCAATCACACGTACAAACAACAATATTTTCTATCTATCTGCATGTAAAAAAATTAGAAGAGCGTGATAATATCAAAAGTATATATTTTTGGATTTTCTGATTTGCTAACATTATAGCCAAAATATGCACAAAGAGTACACACAAGAAATCCAAACAAAGATATGCAATGAAAAATGGAAAAAAAGTTTAGCAAAATCAACATGGAAATCCAAAAAAGAATTAATTTTTACATTAAGAATACACTCAACACATAAAAAATTCCAATGAAAACTTACAAGCCCAAGAAATCTAATCATAGATCAAATAAAAAATCATTCGATCTAAATACAAACCATGAAAAAATCTCCTAAATAAACCAAAAGAGATATGCAAATTTATCAAAAAAGTAGAGCAACACGATGAAATGGAGTGATGGCGGAAGGAAATATGCAAATGTATCGAAAAAGTAAAGCAAAAAGATGAAATGGAGTGATGGCGGAAGGAAGCAACGGTAATGGCCAAAGGGGGGCGGCGGTGCCATGATGGCTATGGTATTTTACTAACCAGGAAGTGGAAGGGATGTGAAATTGAATTGAAATGTACGAATTACTCTTATCTAAAGGATTTTAAGTTTGAACTCTTACTTTGAGGATATAACACATGTTTTACTCCTATATAAGATGTTTTCTTAAATTTTAATTCTATTTTTCTACATTTGATAACATAATCTAGATAAAATTAGTTTTCTAGTCATTTTAAGTTCGGTTTCGATTTATTTGAAACTTTGATTTATACAATTCTATATTTGTTTTGCTAGGTCTACCCTACTCACATAAAACATCCCTTCCATGACACAAAACACTCCCCAGCGACGCCAATCCATGCCTTTTGACACGAAACATATGGTTAATGTTTTTCTAAAAGTTTTTGAAGTGGAAGACCAACTTTATTCTTTATTGGAGTATTTCTTATTTTTTGGTATTAAGTTGTTTTAGCCCATAGTTTCTATTGGGCTTATGGCCTATACAAATTGTATATATATTGATCTTGTGCATAATGAAACCCTGAGAAGTTTTTTTCCAAGGGAGGTGTATTCAATCCATATTTTTAAAGATTCTGAAAGATTATTTTGAATTCATGGATTCTGTAAAGTCAGTGGATTGTTTAAAATCTATGCAGAGTTAGATAGATTTCAATGTATTTTGTTAGCAGGATTTTATAAGATTGTGATAGATTGTTTATCATCAATGAATTATTTATATATACATTTGAATTATTTTAAAAATCTATACATTGTCCTAACATTAATTATTACTTATGAAATTGACCAAAAACTCTAAAAATAATAAAATAAAATAAATTATTTTTAAAACATTATTATTATTATTATTATTATTATTATTATTATTATTATAAAGCTCAACACTAGCATATAATTAACAACAATTTAAAACAAACATATTTTAAAACAACTTATTAAACTAGAAGTATTCTAAACTCTCAACCAAAATAAAGTCACCTAACACATTCAAAATAAAGTCACACAACTCTCTCATTCATCCTAGAATACCTTTTCATTTTATCCTCTCATTTTATGGCGTATCCAACTTAGTCGTTCTTCAGGTGAAGAACACGTCTTTTTTTCCTTTGGTGTCAAGAAATTCAAGTGCCTTAAATTGAGCATCTTCATCTAAGCTTGGTGTGTCCTTGATGGCATCCCATATTGTATATTCTCTCTCTCTTTCTCTTTTCTCTAACATGTTATAGATTCCTTGAAAACTCGTAGATATTTCGTTTAGCCTTTCTATAACACCATTTTCTTCATAAGCACTTCTATTTCTTTTGGTTTGGGTTGCTTTTTGCATGGGAACCTCATGAGTTCCAGGAGATTGGAGCGGTGATGAGGGAATAGGTGGATCACTTTGAGTTTGGTTTATGAATGCATGATTTTCCAAATCAAATCAAGGTCTTCTATGTGCACATCTCTGCCTTCTCCAACACCAAATGTTCTTGCATCGGTAGTACTGCCCAACCCGATTGAGTATTTTCCAACAGCTACACCGTTCCCAATTGCAATTTCCAAGTCCTCATAATCCCGAAATGTTCCATAACGTAATTCGGTGCTATCCTTTGGGTGAGCATATTAAAAAATTATTAGAAGAGATTCATTTATTAGAACAATTTGTCATATGGTACAAAAGAAGCTTACCTAAAAATAATCATCCCATATTTCATCAGTTGCAGTGAACCTCTTTGTAGTAGAATCAAACCCAAAACCAGAGCTAAAACGCATGAGTTCTGAATAAAAGCTCCATTTATTTTTAAACCACTTCAATCGGCTTTGGCAATTGAGATAGTTCTTTGACACCCAAGTTTTATGTTAAGAATAGGAAGTGATGGGTATATCCTTATACACGGCCCGAATAACGAAAAGGGACAGGTCAAAATATGACCGATCACTTTCTTTGATCACCTAATGAGAACAACTCTTCGATTGAGACGGGTCAAAAGTTGACCGGTCACTTTTCTCAAAAAGTGACCGGTCACATTTTGGGCGATAGCCAAAATGTCACCTAATGTTACGAAGGATATTCCTGAAGGCCAAAGGGACGGGTTGAGCTCAAGAAATGACCGGGTAACCTTCGAGAAAAGGTGACCGGTCATATCACTTTACTTGGCTAACACTGGTCCAGTCTCTCAGGCATGGCAATCAGCATCAGAGACCAGGGGACCACCCCGCCATTCATCCATCACGAGGCATACAGTGAAAGGGATGCTTGTCATCTTGCAGGGGTGATTGGATTGAAAATATCCATCTTATAGTCATTGATTGAACAGTGCTTCTTGGTTGTATTAATAACAAGTCTATGATTGAACAGTGATTAGATTATGTACAGTGACCTTCATCCGGGTTTCCTATTTTGTCCATGGATGAACATGGGAAGGTCACAAATCCTCCTCTATAAATATGATGATTGTGGATAGAGGAGGGGATCCAATTTTTCTCTCACTAAAAGTTCACTCTTGAGATAGAGTAAGAAATATAATTCGGACTGAGGAGATTTACTCAGTCTAGGTCATACTTTATGTTCTTGTTGTGCATATTTTACTACGGGTCGAGTGTGTCCAGGTCAAACCTGGTCAACCCACGCGGTTATATTTACACCATCATTTTTGGCGCCACCCGTGGGGCCCGATTTGTAAAGTTTTTCGACCAGGTCAAAACTTTGTCCCCACGAAATATCCACGATCATGTCTTCAAGCAACCATACCGTTGTCTCAGGCCAGGCTGCGAGTGAAAGCACTCCTGCCATCCCATTGATGATGACGAGCATGGGGTCAACCTTCGCCCCGATCACCACGATGGGATCGCAAGGGATGATCCCTATCATGTCAACCCCTACTCCGATGCCTACGACGACAATGTTCCCATGCTCGATAACAACACCTGGTGGGGCATTCACGCCATACTCGTCAAGCTTTGCTCAATTTGCCGCTGACCCGGCAAATGTTCAAGCTCTGCAGGGCTATCAACAGGTGATGGCCATGATGCAACAGGCGGGGGGCTTCATGCCATTTGCCTATCCTGGCATGATGCCACCAATTATGAATCAAATGCCACCCCCGGTGTCGACCCCATCGACATTCGTCCCTAGGATGGTCCCTATACGCTCGGTGAATTTGATAGGGACCATGGACAAAGCAACCCCCTCAAATTTCCATGAAACCGACGAGGCGGAGCAAGAGGCGGCCCGCAGAAGGAAGGGTAAAGCTATAGCCAAGCCCAGCAAAACCCGAGATTCTGCTTTTAAATGCCTGGGGGACAAAGAGGATGGACCCCGCAAGTCTGCCAAGCTACGTTTTGGTCCTGAGATGGGCCGGACTAGCGCAATGGAAAGACTTGGTGGGAGTCATCCCGCCCAATCACGTCGTTCTAGGGAATCTGAGACGATTCGCCTAGACGAGGAGGAGGCCGAAAGTCAGCCCAGAGCATCGGCATACACTAGGCTCTCATATGATGAGGATGAACTAGACAAGATAGGGAGCGTAGCAAGAAAGCTATGCGCCCTGGAGGAAAAAGTAGAAGAGAAGGCAGGAGCAAAGAAGCACACCCTGACAAAATCACCCTTTTCGACTAGGGTACATGCACAAAAACTAAGGCGGAAGGTCAAGTTGGACGTAGAGAAATTCACTGGAAAGGAGGATCCAAACGTCCACCTCGACACTTTCTACAATGCAGCACAAATGACCGGGTGCACTGATGCTGAGGAGTGCCTACTCTTCTTCTCATCCTTGAGAGGGAGGCCAATGGAATGGTTTAATAGCCTTCCCCATGGTAAGATCGGGTTCTTTAAGAAACTTACTGAAGTTTTCCGCAAGAAGTACCAGGATAATTGCATCAAGAGGAAGAAGTTTACCTACCTTAATACGGTAGGGCAGAGGGAAAAGGAGTCCTTGACTCAGTTCTTAACTCGCTGGAGGGACGAGGTTGACAAAGTACAAGAGATGGACGACAAGACGGCCATGTCTTTGCTGATGAATGCCTTCCGGTCGGGTGACCTCTACACTGAATTTTGTAGAAGGCTACCCTCCTCTTATCAGGAAGCCTACAATACGGCATGGGAGTATGCCGAGGCGGAGGTCTTGAACAAGAGTAAGAAGGAACTGGAGGAAGGCTATACAATGGCAAAAATCGATAAGCCGAAGAAAGACGATCAGATGGGAGGGTCCAAGCCAAGGGCCACATATGATGGAACGGTCCATCAAATCAGGGATGAGAAGAAAGGAGAACAACCCAAGCAGCCTTGGACGGAGAAGTGATGTACCTACCACCAATCTGACTCCCACAATACGGCGGATTGTCGAAATGTCAAGGCTGTGCTCAAGGAGATGGCCTTGAAGGGGGAACTTGGGGAAGGTTATGCGACGGGACACAAGAAAGACCCGAAAACTAACACCTGGACCCATCCTCAGGAGAAAGATCAAGGAAGGAGGAAAGGCAGGGATAACAACAAGCCGGATAAAGAGTTCATCGAGACGATTGTTGGCGGCCCGGAAGGCGGGGATACTGCCTCCCAGTGGAATAACTGGGCCAGGAGTTTACATGTATCGGTGGTTTCCCTGGAACCACAAGGAAAGCAAACAAGGAGAGAGCCTATCACTTTCACTGATAGAGATATGCCCAGGACGGGGGAGACCATAATGATCCTTTGGTCATTACAATGGACATCAATGGAGCTGATTGTTAGAATAAGTGACCAACGCTAGAGGGGGGTGAATAGCGTTTGATCATAGAAATCGCAGGAATAAAAAATTAAGAACGTGAAAAGTAAAGAGCGTAAAAAAAAGTAAACGGAGCACACCAAGATTTATAATGGTTCACCACAATGTGTGGCTAATCCAGTCTCCCGAGAGACTCTCTCGAGCTACACTACTTCCTTTAAGCTTACGGGTGCTTAACAAACCGTTACAACTTGAGAACTCGAGTCCCACAAGCCTGAACAACACTTGCTCAGAGATACCACGCTTCAAGACTTCAACCCGAAGGAAAAACACCTTTCCTTCGTACAACCAAGGGAAACAAACTTCCCTTAACGTCTATAAACACTAAGAAAACTCAAGAACAAGGCTCTCTCAAAAGAGTTAATATGAGTAAAGTAATACGCTCAAGATCACAACACGAACTTCACAAAAATGGCTCTCAAGAAGCTATGAATAATGTGTGAATGTAATGCAATGAAGAATAAGAATTGTGAAGTAATGTGATACATAAAATAGACCCAAACACCCCATTTTATAGTGCCAAAATAGGCTCCAACGGATCAAAACATTTAAGGGGTGATTGGCTTGACTTGAGGGATTTGATTAAAATTGGATCTGCTGAAAATCATCCCGATAGTGCTGTCCATGACTTGGACATCGCTGTTCTAAGCTTAGTTTTTGAAAATTGGGAAGCAACAGTCAAGCCAACAGCGATGTCCAAAACCCCTACATCGCTGTTTTAGCTGTTGACTTCCAAACAAGGAAAGATTTAGCCACAAATTCCTTCCAACGGTCAGGTGTCTACATCGATGTTCATTACTTGAACATCGCTGTTCAGGCCTGACTTTAAAGGTTGAGGAATTGGCATGACATCGCTGTTGCTGGGTCAACAGCGCTGTCCAAAAACTTTCTGCCAAGGCATTTATTTTTGGCTCAAGTTGGACAGCGATGTAGGGAGGTCTACATCGCTGTTCCAGATGTTTCTGGAAACCCAACCTTGGCTCAACAGCGATGTCTAAAAACCAACATCGTTGTTGGAAGACTTAACGCCAAACCATGGTTTTCAGCTACCCATGCCAGACAGCGTTGTTGGGTATGCCAACATCGCTGTTGGGCTGGTTTAGCCAGGCCCATAGTTTAGTCATGCCGTTAGCCGATGTCAAAACATATAAGTTCTCCAAAGTAAAAACCAAGTATTGAAAACCTTTGTTTAATGCATTTTGCTAAGAAAACAAGTGAAACATCTTGAAAACCACGTCATTTAGATTAAAAACCACGGCTAGCCAAGTTTACGCCGTTTTACATGATTTTTACTAAACGACCAAAAACGAAGGGTGGTTTTTGAAGCGTTTTTGTTGAAGAACTATTTAAATATGCCCAGAAGAAAAAAAATAAATCATAATATGTTGAAAACCACTTGGTTGGTTCAGGCGCCAAAAACCAACGCCGATAACCGAATGCCGAACGCCGGTTTCTGAAATCCGAACGCCGGATGGCTTGGTTTTTTGTTTGGGCGAACACTAAGTGTTTTAGGCTTGATTAAAACTTATGAAAAACATTTTTGAAAATGCAAAAGAGTATTTTAATGGAATAAGCCTAGAGAGCCAAGTTTTGGAAGTTTGTGCCGGTCTTGATTACAATACGACCGACTCAATAAATTCTAAGTCTTCGTTCTTGGTTCTTGGCTCTTGATTCTCAGTTTATCATGCCATGTTCCTTCACCTTGGTTTTGCTCAGTTTGTCCTTGTTATTGTCGCAGCGGTTTGGCATTATCAAAACCTGTCATAAAACGAACACAGCTTAATACGATATAGGCGTAAACCCGTGTTCCAACAATTTTCCCCTTTTTGATAATGACAAACAAGACGGGGATATGCATACTAAGGGATATTTGATTTTCAAAAAAAATTGTGAAAGAGTTCCCCTTTAATTTGTGCTTGAAAGCAAGTAGTCATGTTAAAATCAAACGATCCCGTTTTTAGAGACGTTCCCCCTTAGTGTATGCATACCCCTTTTCTTCCCCCTTTTGACATTAACAAAAAGATAAACGATAATTTTTATTTATTGAAATGGGAAATAGCGGAGTACAACGGAAGCAAGAAAAAAAACATGACAATAAGAAAGAGATAAATTCTAGGGGCGGCCTAGTCTTCGTCTTCCTCCTCCTCGTCGCCCACGTCCATCTCATCACCATCAATGGCGTCGTCGAACTCATCCTCGTCCGGGGAGCTTGACAGCGCATAGGAGCCATCGTCTTCGTCCTCTTCACCGTACACTTGCCCAAGGAACGTGCCTTGGTACGGTGGGGGAACGTAGTTGACGCGTTGGAAGTACGCGTTCATGGCGTGCCCTTGGCGTTGAACAGCCTCGTCGAGCCGCTCAAGGTAGCCATTCATCCCGTCAACTTTGAAGTGTAGCCGGTTGAGGGAATCGGCGATGGAGGCTAGGTTGGCCCGGGCCTGGGGTTCGGCAGGGGAAGTGCGGCGTGGTGCGGCAATGGCAGGTTTGAAAGCTGATCGTCCAAGTCTTCGTGGCCTTGGTGAGCGGGCCAACGGTGGTGGTCACCTTGAACCGTTCAAGGATGTCCATCACCAAGAAAGGGTAGGGGAGGAGATGATCGTGGGCGGTAGACGTGGCGCCCGTCATGTAAATCATGATGAATTTGGCCCAATTGATTAGTGCCGAGTGCATGGCATGGAGGAGCTTGAGGTCCTTGCCGGACATGATCGTGTGCCCGTGCTTCCGGGGCTTGAGAATCCAGGACACGATGTAGAGGAAGAGGCGGCTCTCGGGGGTCGCGGACTGGATGGTGGGGCGGCCCGTGACGTGGCGGATGAGCTCGGTGATGCCAAGCTCGTTGAGGACAAGGCCTTTGTTGTTGAGAACCCAATCCTCTCCACCATAGTTGGAGATGTCGTCGCCTTGGTAGGGGAGGCCGGCGATGCGCCCAAGTTGCTCAATGGTGAGCTCGATCGGCATGCTCTTGACAAGGGAGTAGAGCACGTCGTCCTCACGCCGGAGGTTGGAGTAGAACACCCGAATCAGCGCCGGGTTGATCTTCCGAGCTCGGGAGACGAACGGCCATAGGCCGGTTTGGTGAAGCTACGCGTCGAGGTCGTCGTAGCCCGGCAACTCCGGTTGGTGCTCCGGGACGATCCGTGGGGGAGCCACAACCCATTTAGAGAAGAAGGTGAGAAAATGGGTGTGCTCCTCCTTGGAATCGAACCAGAGGTACTGTAGGATCGTTTTTCTGGAACTTCCCAGTGGGTCACCCATCCTGGGACTACTCTCGTTCCAAAACGCTTAACTACAGAGTTTTTGAAGTTAAAGAGGTGCCAAATGCTTCCTAAAACCAATTGGTGATAGGAAGGTGGACACTTTATATTTAACCACATCTCTCTGTAGCCCCAAGCCGAGGTAGATTCCTATAGGGCACCCCCTATAGTTCACTACGGCAGTGCGGAGCCCCACTACTGAGCGGTGGATGGACAGGAGGGGCTTCGCAAGATACACGACTCATGTACCTCGTCAGGTTGGGCTGTCAATACCCGATACCGTGACAAGCACAGTAGCAAATCCCTAAGGGTGATCGATGGTCCCCCATAAGACCAACAGGTACGACCCGTCGCCATAGTAGAGGCGCTCCTCAGAGTTGGTTGCCGGTGCCCGAGATTTGGACTTTGATTTCCCGGAGGTTCCTGCCCTGTTCTTATCTTTGCCCATGATGATGAAGATTTCTCAAATAAAATTGTAGAGAAGATGAGATATGCAAGGGGAAGGAAGAGAATTGTGTTTGTGTATAAAAGTGAGGAGAGTGGGTCCAAATATATAGAAAAGAGGGGTTCCCAACGTTCAAAATTTTGAAAAAATGGTTGTTGAAGCATTTAATTCAGTGCCCAATGGATATTTTTTTGAAAAAAATCTGCTTGAACAGCGATGTTCCAAGGGCGACATCGCTGTTGCGACAGTGCTGTTGTGCCTCTGTACAGCGCTGTTGTGAATTAAGTTTTAAAAACAGGTGTCAAAAGGACAGCGATGTTGGGCTCCCTACAGCGGTGTTCCAAAACTTTCTGGAAATGTGTAAGGGTTTGAACCCATTAGAACAGCGTTGTTGGGTCTCCCTACATCGCTGTTTTACGATAGGGAAAAAGTTTGTAAAAATGGACAGCGATGTTTTTATCATGTACATCGCTGTTGTAAAACTTTCTGGTTTTGATTGAAAACATGGGGTTCTAAAGAAACAGCGATGTTGAAAAGCACTACAGCGCTGTTTGAAAAGATTCTGGAAAACAAAAGGTAAGAGGGCTCCCTGAGACATCGCTGGTGATGTATTGTACAGCGCTGTTGTCCAAGTTGGTTGACGGTGTTTCCTTCAACAGCGTTGTTGGTCTCCTGGACAGCGCTGTATGAATAGCGATGTTGTCCTTCTTACAGCGCTGTTTGTATGGTTCCCCCTGATTTTATGAACGGGGTACCTGCAAAAAAAACAACACTTTGGTACCCAAAGTATGTCTATGGGTCCTTGGGGGTTAGTTGACCTTTATTGCCCACACACACACCCAAAATTTGTTTCCTTATGTGCGCACACACACACACACACACAATTAGATGATCATTTAGGAATTACCTTGGCCAACCCGTCGTCTCGTGGTTGGCGGGTTCCAGTCTACCTGAACGGAGTGCCGATATCTCGGTGTGGTCTGTGTTGGTTCCGGTAACGGAATGTGGACTTTCTTCTTTTCGTCAAAGTAGAAGAAATAATACGGTTTCTTTTGTGCGTTTTCCTGTGGAGATTGCCTATGATACGACTATCCTTTTCTAAAGGATTTCTTTTCGTTAGCACCAAAGATGTTGTGTGTTTCATTATAGGTGGAGTGCCTATGTCTGGTAAAACACACGGGAGCTATAAGGCCTATCCTATTACAATAATGGCAAACTACGTTGGGATTGTGCATGTGCCTAGGTTCATAATAGTTAGAGGGTCTAACCATATTGTTTCTATTTTGTGAAAAAAGATGGTCTTTGAAAGTTTTGAAATTGGCCTTTTCTAGGTGCTCTAACATTATTTCTTCTATTTTGAGAAAAATCGGTTTTATGCACAAAATCATTTTTCTTAGGTTGTCTACCATGAACATTTTCATTCCTAGGTTTTAGTCTAGGTTGTCTAGTGTCCTTAGGTTGACTAGGTTTTCTATTATTCTGATTTTTAAGTTTCTTACGTTGAGCCTTAGGTGGTTGTCTAGGTGGTTGCTCCGTAGGCGTAAGGCTTCCCGGTTAAAGGATCACCCTTGAGAAGTTTCTCGCAGGCGTCCTCAAGTTCAGGCGTGGATTCCGGATGAAACCTTTCAGGTTTTATAACCCGGTCAGCCCATTCAGGATTGGAGAAGGGAAATTGGTCAGGAGGAATTCAATGAAAACGAATCTTTGTTTCCATTTTTTATGACTGGGGGGGGGGGGGGAGACCGGTCACAAATCCCCTTTTATTACGGGAATGGAAGTAAACAAAGCCCGGGCAATTATTAGTCCCGGGCAAGACCTCGAACATATGAAGGAAAAGTTAGAGGGAGGGCTTGATTTTCAAAGAATCACAGATATTGACAAAACAGTTTAAAAATCGGTGGGCATTGGGAGTAAGCTGACCGGGCAGAACATGAAACTTGTTACAGATTTCTACAAGGAGGGGGCGAAGAGGAAAAATAATGCCTCCCTCCAGAGAAGCAACGTGAAAACCCAACCGGGTTCCTTGGTGGGGCTCTATAACATTGGGCCATGTGGTTTTAGAAAGGAGAATATAACCCGGTGGGAGGACAGAACGGACGTCAGCCAAAACTTTCTTGGTGACCTTAGAAGGCTTCTTAAACACCGGTCTGACATCAAGGGCTAGGAAGCCCATTGATCCCAATCGTTCTTCCCATTCATCCCAACTGAGGACTTTGGAATTAAACCGACCGGGCAGTTGGTTCAAGGGGACAGGCTCCTAAGCAATTATTTCCCGGGCCTGAGTACTGGGCTTTTGGGAAGAGCGACGGATTAGAGGAGTGGCAGGGGGAGAAGATGATTCAGAACGGGTAGAAGAAGAGGGCTGAGAACCCGACCCATAAGACTGACCGGACACATTTTGACTGTCAGAGGACGACATGACAATACCAGTTGAAAATAGAAAGATGAAAGAATAAAAGACTAGGAGGACTCGAGGACTTACTTGGCAGAAGGCTAGAAAGAGAGAGTGGACCGGTCGGAATTGGAGAAGCGAAGAAGAGAAGTGAGGGAATGGAGTGGGTTGAAGAGGTATTTATAAGAGAGAGAGAGAGAGGAGGGTTGGAGTTCGAGGCGACAGGTGGGAGGTTGAGGGCGTGACACGTGGAAAGGGTAATTATGAGGGGGGGAAATTTGAATTTTGAATGTGGAAGGTGAAGGGTTTTGGGGGGGAAATCGAAAATTGAAAATCCAGACCTGGCAAATTAAAAAGGACAGATTTGATATGAAGACTTGGCGAATCCAAAAAAAGACAGGTCAAGGGAATGACTTGATGATTCAAAATGGACAGGTCTGATATAAAGACTTGATGACTTCAAAGAAGGACAGGTCGTGGGAAAGACATGGTGATTTCAAAGAAGGATAGGTCATGGGAAAGACTTGATGATTTCCAAGAGGGACAGGGCATGAGAATGACTTGATAATTTCCAAGAGGGACAGGTCATGGGAAAGACTTGATGATTTCAAAAGTGATAGGTCAACATAAATATACTTCCCGCCCTTGATGATTTCCTCACAAAGGCAATAAGTGGAGGACTTTTTGATGGGTATATCCTTATACCCAGCCCGAATAACGGAAAGGGACATGTCAAAATATGACCGATCACTTTCTTTGATCAGCAAATGAGGACAACTTTTCCATTGAGACAGGTCAAAAGTTGACCGGTCACTTTCCTCAAAAAGTGACCGGTCACATTTTGGGCGATAGCCAAAATGTCATCTAATGTTACGAAGGATATTCCAGAAGGCCAAAGGGACGGGTTGAGCTCAAGAAATGACCGAGTACCCTTCGAGAAAAGGTGACCGATCATATTACTTTACTTGGCTAACATTGGTCCAGTCTCTCAAGCATGGCAATCAGCATCAGAGACCAGGGGACCACCCCGTCGTTCATCCATCACGAGGCATACAGTGAAAGGGATGTTTGTCATCTTGCAGGGTTGATTGGATTGAGAATATCCATCTTATATTCATTGATTGAACAATGCTTCTTGGTTGTATTAATAACAAGTCTATGATTGAACAATGATTAGATTATGTATAGTGACCTTCCTCCGTGTTTCCTATTTTGTCCATGGATGAACAGGGAAGGTCACAAATCATCCTCTATAAATATGATGATTGCGGATAGAGGAGGGGATCCATTTTTTCTCTCACTAAAAGTTCACTCTTGAGATAGAGTAAGAAATATAATTCGGACTGAGGAGATTAACCGGTCTAGGTCATACTTTGTGTTCTTGTTGTGTGTATTTTACTACGGGTCGAGTATGTTCAGGTCAAACCCGGTCAACCCACCCAGTTATATTTACACCATCAGGAAGTATCTTTTGTTCCACGGTTTGCTTAGAAAAATGCCACTATTATCACGCCATCCCCGAGAGGCGGCATCTACCATGAGCTCTAATAGTACATCACTCTCTTGGGTTGTCCATTGCTCATACCCTCCTTTTCTTTTGATATTTTGTTGTTGATCACCCATGATGATATTGCTATTTTTTAACAATAGTAAACAATATGTTACAAAGAACAACACTATTTGATATTTATGAAACAGGACGATTACAAAACAAATCATAAAGAGAAATAATAAGATGACAAAAAAAGTCATAAAGAGAAAGAAATCATAAAGCAAAACAAGAAGCTAAAGAGATACAAAAAAACGGGTCATATGAACACAAGATGTAATCAATCAAAATAATCCCAACCAAATTCAAGAACCAACCAATTCAAAAATAGGAGAGATTAATTAAGCTGCTGCCCAAAGATCTAGATTCATGTTATTCCTTTTTGGATGAAAAAAGAAACAACAGAGATGAGATTTTA